TTCCACTGCTGCCTAAAAGCTGGGATTAATCCTCTCTTCTTACACTAAGACTTGTCATGGCTAAGGAGAGAAACCTCTTTTTTTTCCTTAAACTGAGCACGGGCTCTTTCTACGTCATGGAGTCATGGAATCATTAATGTTGAAAAAGACATTTAAGATCATCAAATCCAACCATCAATTAGTGCCACCACCATGGTCACCATTAAACCATGCTCCCAAGTGTCACATCCGCACATTTTCTGGACACTTCCACCACCAACCTCAACCCCCTCTGGCCCAGCCTGAGGCCGTTCCCTCTCCTCCTGTCCCTGTTCCCTGGAGCAGAGCCCGACCCCCCGGCTGTCCCCTCCTGTCAGGAGCTGTGCAGAGCCAGAAGAGCCCCTCTAAGCCTCCTTTTCTCCAGGCTGAGCCCCTTCCCAGCTCACTCAGAAGCTCCTAGGGCTCCAATCCCCTTCCCCAGCTCCATTCCCTTCCCTGGACACGCTCCAGCCCCTCAGGGTCAGCTTTGTCCTTAGGGGCCCAGAGCTGACCCCTGGATTCCACGTGGGACCTCAGCAGTGCCCAGCAGCGAGACAATCACTGCCCTGACCCTGCTGGCCACAGTGGGTGACACCAGCCAGGTGCCAAAGCTGGAATTCCTCACAAGCAGGATGAGGGAATTTTGCCCCCTCGGTTGTTTACCCGGCAGTGCTGGAGTCAGGCTGGTACCCAGAGCTGTGGTGGGAGCTGCAGAGCCTCTCACTGGAACTGGAGAGGAGCCTGTGGAGAGAGGAAAAAGTCTGTGAGCCATGGCAAGATCCAAACTGGCAGCCACTGCTTGGAGGGCAGATGGACAGCACAGCCCTTTGCCAGACCTTGTCATGGACCAAACCAATCCCTTTCTCCTTCTGCCTCTGCCACAGGACAGAACTGCTTCCCTGGAGAAGGGATTTGGGGAAGTCTCACTTGTAGAGCCATGAGCCAGAAGATCTAATGAGATCTTCCTGTGAGGATGGGCTGAGTGAGTGAGAGCCTGATTGGGAGCAGCCACGGGGATAAAGGGCCCAGGAGGAACTGCAGGAGATGGGAACATTCCCAAGGCCAATAGAACTGTCCCCAACTCAGTAATTTGAATGAAGAATGCAACAAAACTATGGAAAACAGCTCTGTCCATCCACTCAGCAATGAGATCTGCAATGAGGCTGACCTTCCCTAGAGCCAACCCAAGGATCTTGTGCCTCCCCTTCACCTCCACAACTACTCCTTGTTACAGATCAATCCCTCAGCCTTGCCCTGGTGGCTGCATGGAGCATCAGACAGCACATGGGTGCCAGGAGGCACTGCAGGGGCCCAGGATAATGGTATTTCATACCTCCTGCCCCTTCCAACAGCCTTCTTCTGGGAGCAGTTCTGTCATTTATCCATTGACATTCTGGGGACAGTGACCCCCTCTCATTGCTGTGATCTCTGTTTTCCTGTAGCAAAGGCCAGTTCCCAGCCAGGAACCAGCTCCCCATTCTCCTGTCCCTCTCTTCTGGCCTCCCATACAGTGAAAAATCTCCAGACCCTGTGCTAGGCATCTCTAGCTAGGAATGGTTTAAGAGCTGGTCTGTGCCTCTGGATCATGCATCCACTCCCTGGAATACAATCCTCCCTCTCTCAGCTCTTGGCTTTGCCTGCTAGCTCCTATGTCATAAATTTCTGGGAAAATGCCCCTCGGAGCCCTTGTGACTCCCCATTTACCTGGAGCTGTTGGAGTTTAAGCTGTCCATGTAGAATGGCACCCTGTGGCTTCTCTGGGACATGGACATGGTGGGATCTCTGGGAAGGGAGTCGTGGCTGGGGACAGGAAGTGGAACAATCTCAAGCTCTGAGTTTGGGCACCTGAGGGATCCTCAGACAGGGTGGGAATCTCAGCTGGAATCTCCCTGCTGGGCACTGACCCCTCCCACAGCACACCCAACACCTGCTCACCGCCAGGGAATCAGCAAATGGATCAGGACGCTGAGTAAGTGTGGCACTGGGGAGTTGCTTGGTTTGGGAAGCTGGGATCCCAGCCCTGGACTCACCGTCCTGCGGGGGGGCTGAAGTCCCCGTGCCCCCTGGCACTGTCATACCAGCTGCTCCTGGGGCTGCTCCCAGAATAAACGCTCCCTTTGGGATCAGGGCTGGGCCTGCCGAAGGGACACAAAGCCCTGAGCACACAGCAGCAGGAATCTCTGCAGTGCCCACGCTGGGCTCACAGTCACTGCCAGGTTCTGGCACTGCCCTGGCACAGCAGTGTGATCCCTGTCCCTGAAAGTGCCCAGGAAATGTGTGGATGGGGCACTTGAGGCTGTGGCTTGGTGCTGACCATGTCACACAGCTGATGATCACAGAGGCCTTTTCCAGCCATGAGGACTCCATGATTCCATCGTGCATTCCCCCATGCTCTGCCTGTTTTTGTGCTCCACAGGGACAGCAGGGACCAAACCCAACACCTGAGCAAAGCCAAAGCATTCCCAAACAGATTGCCTGGAGAAGCTGTGGCTGATCCATTCTTGGAAGTGTCCAAGGCCAGGCTGGCTGGGGCTTGGAGCAGCTTGGGATAGTACTAAGTGTCCCATGCCAGCAGCTTTCCCTGTCTCTGCATCCTAAACCCTTCACCCCCAAACCCTCATCCCCAAACCCGTCCCCAGATCCCCACCTCCTGGTGTTGAACACCTGGCTGTCCACGTAGCCTGGAATCCTGTGGCTGGGCACGGAGCCTCCGAAGGATTGGCGCTCCTGGAACAGGGGCACGGCAGGCTGGGACTCAGGGGCACTGGGGGCACTCTCCTGGGAGCTGAAGTCAGACCTGCTGAAGAATTTAAACCAGTGTGACCATAAAGCCAAGGGGTGTCTGCTCTGAGCAGCTCACACGAGTGCTCAGGGTCTGCTGAGGGTAGATCCTGCCACTTCCTACAGGGAGCAGAGAGAAATGGGGCACCATGGTGTTAACAGAACCACAGGATCAGGGAATTCCAGAATCCCAGAATGGTTTGGGTTGGGAGGACCTCCAAGTTCATCCCAATTTTTCCCCAGCCATGGCAGGGACACCTTCCACTGTCCCAGGCTGCTCCAAGCAAAGTGTACAGTGGCTTTGAGCACTGCCAGGGATCCAGGGGCAGCCACAGCTGCTCTGGGCACCCTGTGCCAAGGCCTGCCCACCCTGCCAAGGAACAATTCCTAATTTCCCAAAACCCATCTATCCCTGCCCTGTGGCAGTGGGAGCCATTCCCTGTGTCCTGTCCCTCCATCCCCTGTCCCCAGCCCCTCTGCAGCTCTCCTGGAGCCCCTCAGGCCCTGGCAGGGCTCTGAGCTCTCCCTGGAGCTTCTCCTCTCCAGGGGAGCACCCCCAGCTCTCCCAGCCTGGCTCCAGAGGGGCTCCAGGCTCAGAGCAGCTCTGTGGCTTCCTCTGGACTCTCTCCAGCAGCTCCAGGTCCTTCTGATGCTGAACTGTAACAATTCCTGTGGGAGATCCTGCAGGGCTGTGCTCCTTCCAGGGGGAAAGGTGGCACTGGCAGAGCCTGTATTGGTTCCTGAATTCCCCAAGCCAGGGAATGAGCATTTGGATGCCTTGGGCAGGCCAGGAAGGAGACCTGGAGGTCTGTGAGGGATGTCCTGGTCCCTCAGCTCCGTACCTGTCCCGGTGTGGCTCAGACTCGTTTGCATGTGGAATCTCTGGAGCTGGGATGCTGCTTCCTTCCAGAACAGAGCTGGACCTGCCAAGACATGAGACCTTTACAGTCTGTGGAAGCACCCTGAGCACAGAATTCCTGTGGGACGGAGATGCAGCCCCTGGAAAATCTCCTGCCTCAAGGGGAAAAAAAAAAGTGCAATATCTCTGCATGGAAATGTGCCAGATCATGGAATCACAGAATTGTTTAGGTTGGAAAAGCCCTCTAAGATCATCAAATGCAACCACCCAGCACTAACCCAAATTCTCAAATAACTCAAAGTGATGTGAAAAAAAACAAGATGGAAAATCCAGAACTCTTAAAAAGCAGGTCTGAAAAGAAGGACCCCAACCACGGCTCCTTTAATGCCTTCTCCAGAGCCCCCTGCAGCAAATTCCCCACATCCTCCCACCAGGAAAAGCAGTCCCCTGATCACTCTTGCCTTCTTGCAGTGGTCTCCTCACTCTGCACACAGGATGACATTCCCATGTCCCTGTCCCTGCTCCCAGCAGTGTCCTGGGAGCGCAGCTCAGACCTGGGGAGAAGAACACTCTGGTCACCCTCTGACTCCAAGGTGTTCTCACTGACACACCTGGGAGGGAGCCTCAATTCTTCCCATTGAGGAGGAAAACACGGACAAAAGAAAGGAATTCAGTCCGTAAAGTCCTCCCATGTGGACACCCAGCCCTGAAGTTCAAAACCAGACCCAGTGTTACTGTGGAGCCCAATGCCAAATTTTATTGCTTATTGTCTCTCCCTAGATACCCTTTTCTCCCAAATTTAAAGTCTAGGAAGCAACTCCTGGCAGTCCAGCTGGACAGGGTTTGATTGCTCCAGCTAAGGATGATCTTTTCGCCCAGGTTTTCCTATAAAACCATGGTAAAATGTTCATCCAGCAGAAGCAGCACTAGAATCAGGCACAAGAAGGCCTCAGACTGGCACTAGAGGAGGTTTAGGTTGGATATTGGGAAAAATTTCTTCATGGAAAGGGTTGTGATTTCCTGGAAAAGTTCAGGAAATGTGTGGATGTGACACTTGAGGACACAGGTTAGTGCTGAGCATGGTGATGGTGCTGGCTGATGCTTGGACTTGATCCAAGAGGTCCTTTCCAACCTGAGCAATTCCAGGATTCTATGAAAAGGAGAACCTGGGAGAATATTTATCAGAAGGGGGGAAGATGCCCAAGGAATGCCCCCTCATCCCACAGGAAAAGGCAGGGGAATATCCAATTCCTTACCCAACCCTGCTGGGCTCAGTGGGATCCTTCAGCCTGGGGAGCTCTGGGGGGGTGTCATGACCAAGAGCTCCTTGACCCCTCTCAGTGAGGCTGGCTGAGTCCAGAAACCTAAACCAGAGATCCAGGATTGGGAAAATCCATGCTGGGATGGGCAGAAACCCATTCCCTGGAGAGGAGCAGGAGCCAGTTTGGCCAGAGCAATTTCAAACATCCCAGATCACTGACCCCAAACATCCTGGATCACCAACCCCAGACATCCCAGATCTCCGACCCCAGACATCCCAGTGCCCCCAGTCCAAACCTTGTCTCATCCCAGTATGGCTGGTGGTGGGATGGGCCCTCAGGATTCGTGGAGCTGCTCCTCTCCTCATAGTCCAGGACAGAGCTGGAAACCAGAGCAACACTCATCACATTCCTAAAACCTGGCACCAGGACCCTGGCACTGCTCTGCTCAGCAGGCCAGGCTTGTGCCAGCCTGCACTGGCTTTTCCCTGGGACAGCCCATGTCCCTGTGTCACAGCTGCTCCCAGCTCCCTGCTGCTGCTCCAGCATCCCTGGATTATCAGGGAATTGAAAGGGAATGACTGAGCCCCACTGAGAGCACAAGAGGAGGAAAAATCTGCAGTGCTTGGCTGCTCTCAGAGGAGATAGGGGGGATACAACACAAAGCTCTTGGTTTATTTAAACCTCAGTTGTTTCCATCCTTGGGAAAACAGCAGGAGAAGGAGCCTCTTTCTGTGCCTGCCCATTCAGGTTTCCCTTAATCCTCAGGGCTGCTCCTACACCCACTAAACTCACCCTGCTCTTACCTTTTAAAGGAATATTCTGTGTCCTCAATACGCACAGGGGTTCTCTCAGTGGGACAAAAAGGGACATCAGGCTGCAAGGATGACCTAGCAAAAAAATGGGGAATTTAGAGCTTCCAAAAATCCCCAGGGGATTTGTTTGGAACAGCAACACTGTACTTTGTATGAGACCAGGAAACAGGAAAGAATTGTCTCAGAGAATTGATTTTCCCTCAGAAAAACCCATTTCCATCCTAAGCAAGAGAAGGAGAGGCTGCTGGTGGAACTGAGGTGGTTACTGGGATTAAATTCCCACATATCTCAGAATTCCCTGTCCTGTCCCAGCATGGAGCACCTGGACAAAGCACAACAGGAGTAACTTTGGAGAAGACATTCCTACATCACCAGCAGCAGCTCCAGGCCATGGAATCCTCCTCACATCAGCTCAGGGGGCTGAATTCATTTCATAGAATCCAGGAATCATGGAAAGGTTTGGGTTGGAAGA